AAAAAAAAAAAATCGAACTGGAGTTCGAATAAGAAAAATTAAAGTTACAAGTTACTTAAAGGAGAACAAAGAGCACGATCTTACCCTATGTGATTGCGAGAGAAGATTTGTCTTATTGCTACTTCCAGCTCTGTATTTAAACGTTTCACCTGCACACGGCACCAACGATTATTCCCATCAGATCAGATTGATTGTGAAAAGTACGAGTTTATTGAATCTGAATCTTCCTTATCGGATTTATTTCGAGTATGCGTCTTTATCTGGGCGATTTCACACTGCCCACTTGAGATGTAGCTAGAATTTCACAACAAGTTGCAGACAACTCTGGGATATTTATTAATCCCGGGATTAATCCAAGATTTTACTGGTTTTGGTAATTGCAGTACCAATTTTGAAGAGTGACTTCGATTTCCATTTCTACTTTCTTCTCTTCGTTGGTTAACCGGATGTGATTGTGAAATTTTATAACGTTAAATTCTAAAACTTTACGGTCTGTAATGTATGGAATTAAGAATTGATTAATGAAAACAAATGGAATTTAGTCAAGCCGATTTTAATTTCTTCAAATATAAATGTAGTTTTTAATTTGCGTAGAAATGGAACAATGCATTCGAAAATAAAGAATTTGTAAATAAAGTAATTATTACGATAAAAAAAAAAAAATTGATGTGATTCGTTTTCGTATTATTGTTTTGTCACAATTACACTGATTTTCATTTTTCAAAAATCATTTAACATTGTTTAGTAGTAAGATCCTACCTACAGAAGCAGTTACGACGTAACGCATAAATTAGCACATCAATTAGACAAGCGCAGTTAGACAACTGAGAGAACGAAAATAGCTGCATTTAAGTAATCGCAACATTAAAAGAATTATCGTAAATTACGCGATACCATCAAGGTTGACAATCGTGATTATGTACACGAAAGGAGCATTTAAAATTTGTCCTTTGTAATCAATCGACGTTTTTTAGAATAAAAGAGAAAATTTTTCCGGTAACAAAAGGAAAAATTTATTACAGTTACAATAAAAAGAGGATATTACTTTTATTATTTTTTTCGATGGGAAGCCTTTAAATTATTCAATACAATATTTTACTTATGTATATACTTTGTGATCAGAGTCAGGCAACGTTGATATTATGTAGTAACAATATTAAACAGTAATCTACCTTTTTATATAATAAAACATTCTATGAAAAGGTTCATACTGATTTTATTAAATAATATAAAGGAATTATAAAAATTAAAGCCTAAATTGTGCAGTCATGGATGAACCATAGCCAAGTTTTGCTGCCTGTTCGAACATAGCGACCAAAGAATCCAAAGTTTCCTTTGCAGTTGGTATAATTTGACTTGCTGGCAAAATGAAACCATATCTTCCTGTGTCTCGAAGCTCGTAAGTGTATGTCACGGGAATGTTGTAGGTTCCTCGTACCCAATCCATCGATCCTCCTGACGCAACGTCTAGAAAAATTGAGATAATAAAAAATTTAAATTAATTAAAACGATAAAAATCTTAGTTCAGATTTTATTTCACATTTTATTTTGAACTATTTTTATTTGTTATTTTGTTATAATGTTAGATAACTTTTTTTTCTCTCAATATTATAAATATACACAAATAATATCTATTTACAATATTCTAACATTTAATACAATAATGTTTTGGTAATTTTAATAATGTACTTACATATAATGTCTACGATATTGCCAACTTTGTATCGTGTTCCATATTTCTTTGATAAAGCATTTATAGAGTAATTTCCTATTTGAAAGAGATCGTCGTAGTTGCTGACTCTCTTGTTAGAGTGGCCATATGGAATGAGCAACAATTGACTGTAACTGTGAAATGCTATATAGGAGAATATTTTACTCTGAATACTATTGATATATTGAGACATGGTTCTTGTTTCTGTTTCAGAGAAAGGCCTGTCGCCAGGGTATATTTCACTACATGGATTTCGGCTAACACCACCCTCTGAAACATCAGCAAATGATTATATTTACTAAATAAAAATAATAACTTTTTTACATCTCTAATATATCTATTATATTCTTTATTCTTTTAATATTCGATAATTTATAATAATATAAGTATCTATCTATTTTATATATACGTACTATAAATAAATGGCTTCAAATCTATTAAACAATTACTTCAATATATTATTTCCAATATCTAAATTGATTTCCAATTTATCAATACACATAGATTAAAGATGAACCACTTGAAATCAGATTTAATTAACCGATAAAATCAAATAAACAATTAATATTTTTTTTTTATTAGATTATCACCTGCCCAATGGAAATCCCAATTTCTGTTCGGATCAGCTCCGTAACAACCTCTTCCGGTAGGTCTCCTTGTCTTCCGCCATAGACGATTCTAAACAGTCAAAACGCAATGAACTTTAGATGGATTTTTACATTATCACGTTCTCACATCACGTAACTATCACACATTTCGCTAACACGTTTAAACTGAAACGAAAAACGAAACAAAGCTGCATTGATTGAAGTGGCAAATTGGAAAAGGAACAGAGAGTTGAAGCTCTTTCGATAGTGGAATGAAATAATTAAAAGATGAAATTTTAATAATCTTAACGCTTCAGCAGCGATATGCTGAAAATCATTTCTGTATACAGTTTTTTATTTATCTCGTGCACAAAGTAAATTATCTTGATTACGGATCAGACGATCGTACGATCGAAATGTAAATTCAAGAATAGACGAGAATACGTAACCTAGATAAGTTTTATTTCAATTGTAGCAATCTAGATAAGTTTATTTACGTATTTTAGTTGCACCAGAATTTAATCAAGAGTAGCAGTAAAATTCAATAAATTCGAAAAAATTGTTTATTCTTTCGATTTTTCTTAGCCTTCCTTTAAAACTTGTCTTCGTAATTTAAGAAAATTGTTATGTAAAATTAGTAGAATAAAGAAAGTTATCGTGATGTATACAAGCAGCTGATCAAACGTCGTTGCAAAAACTTATCACCGACTTCATGGTAACAAAAAATAAAGCAATTGTAATATGTTCAAGTGACAAAAGCGATTTTGAAAGAGTTCATCACAAGAAGATGCGCGTTTTAGATTACGACGAGTAGTGTTTAATTGTGTGAAAATTTACCCACATTTAAAATGAGAAATTAATTTTTTTTTTAAATGTTTCCACGTGTAATTTAATTATTTATTTTGTTTGGAAAGCACTTTCTCGCTATTTCGTAAATCTTTGACATATTTTCTAAGTGAACTTTTTTTTGTGCTCGGTCCCTTTCCACCGCATAAAAAAAAATTTCTTTATAATATGTTGTAAAAAACTATTTGTTATAGCTATTTAAGAAGTTTTCTCAATATTTTTTTTGTGCAGTTTTTTTTTATGCGGTCCCTATCTACCAGGTTTGACTGTATTTAAAATTTCTTACAGTAGTATGAGTGTATTCGTAGCCATCCGGATTGAACACAGGGAAAATGTACCAATCGTACGACTCCGCCATGTATCTGACACGAGAATCATCACTCAGGATCAATTCGTTCAGGATGTAGGTGACAACAGCAGGTGATATCCATTCTCTGGCATGTATCCCGCCTTCGATGAATATACCAGGATTTCCTTCTTTATAAGAAAGCTTCACACCTTTGATCCTCCTGCCTTCGTAGCTACTTCCACCGATTATTGGTTTCACTATTTCAGGATGCTGAGTTACGAGAGAATCTAGCCAGTTGTAAATCTGAAAGACAGACAATACGTTTTTCTATTTTCAAATGACAACGTGAAATTAATTATTATTTTATTATATAACAATGGAACTGTATTTTTATGATTCATAATTACTGATGTAATTATGTTGGGATATATATTATATTGCAGCATATAAAATAGCTAGTACTAATATAATAGGACAATAACGTGATAGTATATAACATAGTAGTTGAAGTGGACGTAGTTGAGTTAAGTAATCGAATTGCAGAACGAAAAAATTATAGTAATACTACGATGATATTATTTACGATCGTAAACACTATGCTTTTACTTGGAATTTTTGTAATCCATGCGATAACTCCAATATTCTGAATTACGAAATGAATAATGATAATAAAACTAACTGAAGGAAAGGAAGACGAAGCTTATATCCTAAGTGTTATTATATTCATTGTGTAATCTTTCAAAATAATATCTTACGGTATTCAATCGATGATAACCCAACCAATCGAATGCTCCTCTTACGTTGCCACGAGGATTCTCATCGTCAATATACTTTTGCACGTTATCCATCATTAATTCTGGTTCAAGCTTTGTCGTGTTAACTTTTTGCACAAATTCTTGAATCCTTGCCGGAGAGATCATCACGTCTGCGGTATTGTTGATCTTCGGTCGAAGCCACAAATGATAACCATCATCGTCTTGCATGTTCATCAATAATTCTAAACTCTCATCATCGGGCACGAAAACTTTGTACAATCTATATCCATCGTATCGTTTTCTTTCGTCGTCGGTGGCATAAGTGTTTCCAAAAAGTAAAAGAAGATGTAAAAGAATAGTCTGCATCGTGCAACTTGATTCCATTTTGACAATCAGTAACAATAGAATTTATTAAATATTGCAAAATGTATTGTAGAATCTTACAAGCTGTTCCTGTTATTGTTCATAGCTTTCAGAAATATTCAATATTCGATCAAATCTTCGCAGTTGATTCCTCGATTTTACTATTTTTCAATTTTTAATTATGGTCTTCAATTTTCACTCATGGTCTTCTATCATCAATTTCCACTGTGTTGCACAATGTGTATAGCTATTGTTTTAATGCACAGCAAACAATTGGGAGATGACAAACAATTTCAATAATATTCTAATTAAAAAAATCTCGAGGTTTAGAGAAATAAAGCGAGCTTTCAGAATTCTTCCAACGCGATGTTCCTACAATGTTCCGTCGAGAGAATCCCGCTTTCACGCGGTCAGTTCGAGATGGAAACTGATCGATACCGGTTTCTTTTTCGTTTAAACTGAACTCGGCAGGTCTGAGGTGCAACAGAGGTGTGCTCGTCTCGGTGAATCCTCCCATGGCTTTATATACGACGAGAGCTAACCACGAGAGATAAAAATATCCTGTACGTGAGATATGTGTAAACAGAAAAGAAGAAGAAGAAAAAAAAAAATAACACGGGCGACGCATTTGCATGCAGGATGAGTTATAAGAATTCTCGGGAGGTTGCGAACATATGGAGGCTTGTCAACGCAATGGTCGAAGACCTCGAAGATACCGTTGGAAAATATCGATAACCCGAGGTTGTCGACACCTGCTTAAAGAAAGTGCTCTTCTATCATCTTTTCAAACAATTTCAGTGTATGTAGTTTTCGGCGTATTTTAAATACGAGAATTAAAAATATTAAAACATAATTCCCTGTAATTTCATTATAGACAGAAATTGATTAAGAGGAATTATAAATAGAAGAATCATAAATGGTAAAAAGAATTATAAAAATATAGATTATAAAAATTTTTCTTTCATTTTTAATTCTTCCTTTTTTTTTTGCAATTGTAATAGTTTATTGATAATTTTCACTTCTTTGTACATGGATTCTCTTACAGAAGTTGCTAAAGTCAATCGTCAATATTTATTTTACGGATACATATGGATACACAAAAGAAATTTACATGTTCTTTTTAAAGTTGCAGGTGCAACGACCTATGATTGAATACCTCCGGAACAGTACTTGACAAGTCGATGAAATCAGATAAGATAATTCGCATCTATTAATTGCCACAATAATGAAAGAATAAAAAAAAAAAAAAAATTATTGCTGGATCTTGTATTGTTTTACATACTGCCAGCGTATAAAATAGGACAATGAACAGCATTTAACGTCGTCCTTCTATTTCTTGGTCAGATGGTGGTATTATCGAATAGATGCGATTAAGAGTCAACGTGGAATTAATACTAATTTAACAGTTAGAAGCTAGTTAGACCTCTTTTGTAACAATCACTTTTTTATCTCACTCCTACATGTACAGAATTTATCAAAAGTCACTTCACGTGTAGGTATTGCTTAAATACTCATTATATTTATTACAATTATCATAATTATTGCACTAACTTTACAAACATTCTAATTTATTAGCTAATACTTTTATTAACTACAATCTATTATAAAAGAAATTTTTTAAATAAATTATTAAGTTGAAAACGACTGCTCAACGGATTTAAATATAAAAAAGAAAGAAAAAATTGTTTAATGACTCATTGTTGCATTATTTTTTTCATATTTGTATCATAAGTTTTATATTTATATTAACATGTTTCATTTATGATAAGACATTATATTATATAAATTTAGGAGATATAGATGTATATGTGTATATATATATATATAATAAAATTAATATAAATTATATTAAATGTAAACAACATTTCATAATGAAGCACGTGGGTTAGATAAAAATAAGATACAAAATATCAGACACAAACAACATTACATAAGAAAGTGTAGAATGTAAATAGTTTAATGTATCCAAATTCATATTATATTTTGTCGTAATTATTATATAAATATTATTCATATTATCAAAAAGCTCTGAAATAGATATTAGCTTAATGCTTAATATATCTTAATGTATCTAATTTTGTATTATATTTTATAGCAATTATTAGAGAAATAAATCTTAAATCTGCTTGTTATAAAGTAACTTATCAATCTAACATATATCATTTCCTTCTCACACATACATTAGAAAACTATTCGTTTAACATTATTAATATAATATAATTCAATGATATTTTTGTGTCCTACTTTTTATGTTTAATATCAAGTTACTTATCTATGAAAATTATCACATAGAAAACTGGCAGAGTAATTGCGTCAAGTTTATAATTAACTTGTTATCTAAATTATGTTTTATTGTGTTTATATTATATATAGTGTACATAATCTACATAGTGTACAAAAATATTTTGAAGATAATAATAACAGTGATAAAAACGTTGTAAATATATAATTAATATTAATGATGAAACAAAATTTGCGTTCCACGTGCAAAATTATCAAGAGAAACTTTTTCGTTACAGCTACGATCGATCCTTGGATCGAGTCCTTGTCATGCTATTGACTACAAACCGTTCATCAATGATCGAGTCCTTGTTACATAGATCCAAGATCAATATCGTTAGTCACGTGCATAACAGAACAATAAAAATTCTTACATACTTATCCTGTAAGAGTATGTAAATTAATTTTATTTCAATTCTTGTGTTCGAACAAGAATCCAGAATGAGTTCTAATTTGCATATTGCATTATCGATATTGAAATTGCACAAAGAAACAGGTATAAAAGAAACAACTATTAGTCCCATTGTTTAAATGATAGATATTGTTTGGCTTGTATCCTTTACTTAACAAAATAAATAATTTAACATAAATAAATAATTCGTTAACAGAATTAAATAATTGACATGTAGAAAATTGTATTAATCTACTTAAAACATTTGTTTTTTTTTTCATGTAACTGGAGAATATTTTCTATGAATTTGACTTTGAATTGTTCCCACAGTTTTATGCATTTACGCATTTTCCAATTAAAATGACATAATAGGTTAATTACATGCGCGCGAAAGAATAGGATGGAAAACATTATTATATTATTACAAATTTATTTAAAAAAGTATTATTGAACTATAATATCGTAGGAATACATATAATCAACAAAAATGAATTATTATTTTCTTTATTTCGAAAATTTAAGAAAAAAATATTGTGTTCATTTACGCGTTGTATCAAATGTACAGTCACGTGATTAATATGGATGCATTCAAATTGGAATATCGTAGATCAAGTGACACAGTAGATCAAATCCAACCTTGCTGACAACTTATCTCACTAGGTCATTAATTTTACTAATCTTATTTCTTGGCACTAGTTTTTTTTAATAATTTTGTTTGATATTTTGCGGACTTTGCACTCAATTATGAAATTACGAAGTGATAAAAATACATTACATCACAACGATCCTTTCAGAAAAGATTGAAACAAAAATTGTGAAATTTACTTGAAAATGAATTCAGTATTCGGGATTTACGCGTATAACAAATAAGGAACACAATATAATTAATGGAATAAAAACATTAACAAGGTTAGGTTTGTAACACCTGTATATGTCGATAAGTACGGGAACTGTTTGACTTGTGCGCACTTGCGTTGCGCAATATGCGACCAGACATTTTAAGTCAATCAGAAAATCAATTGTTTTAAAATTACAAAGTTACACATTACGTATATTTAATATATTACTATTTTAAACACACGTAGCAATATTGTATAACTATGTCATCACTTTTAGAATGTTATTTATCTCGTTATTACTGCCAATGTCTATTATACATTGCCGGAAAGAAGACTATAACGAATAATTTATAACTTTTATTTTAATTGGTAAATTGTTGCGTAGCAAGATCTCAGGAAGTATTCCATGATTCCATATCGTTTTATGGCCGAAATATCAAACGAGTGAAGAAGGTTCAACGTGGGTCACCGGTCACAGAGAGTACGTCCCTGACGACATCTTCTCTCTCGACACTAACGACACCAACAGTGGTCGGCGGTATTGCCAGAGCGCAATCCAGTCGCGGTTTATCAGCCGAGTTGTAACGGAAAAAGGAGCGGAGGTGCACGCTTTCGAGTAATCGCCGTGTCTCCTCCGTTCACTCAAAATCTCGTTTGTGGTATCCGTCCTTCATCCCTCGTAACGTATTTGATTGAGAAAGGAAAGAAAAGAGAAAGAAAGAACGACAGAAAGAAGAAGGGAAGCAACACTATAAAACGAAATTATATAAAATAAAGCGTTCGAGTGCGTGGTCGTATTTCCACTTTGCACATTATCGATTAACTACTCGAGTCTGCACTTCGCAAGAATTGAAAAGGGTCAGAGAAACACCGAAGAAACATCGAAATCAAGAAGATGGCGGATAAATTATACTACCCTAATCCAGAGCTCGCGAAGAGCGCGTACTGCAGCAGTATGGAGCAGTATAGAAAGATGCACGAGAAGTGAGTGGTTTTTGTATTTGAAATAACGAACGTCTTGTTAAGGCTTACTTAGTCGGTATAAGAGGGATGATGACAGATGGCACGGTGTAGCCTTTGACATATCTCGCCGAATACACTTTTTCATCCCCTTTCCGTTTAGTTTCTTTATACGCTTTTACTTTCCCGGTGGTAGTCTCCTTAATGACAAATCGATATCGTTTTTAAATTCCGATGACACTTTGTGGGAGAATGTTATTCATAGTTGGAATGTTAAGGCTGTTGCGAATCAATAATGTTCACCGAGCGATAGCATTAAGGGAATTTCTAATATTGTGTTTTTTTTTTACGTATCATTTTATGAATGAAAATGTTACGTTTAGGAGTTAGTTGGTCAAGATATACGTAATTTTAATTCGGTAGAATTTTTATCTTTTAATGATCGACTTAATTGTCGCGTTTTAATTGTAAATCATTGACAGCTTGCTCGAGAAAAATTGATCTTTTATTTCTTTGCTGAAGAGATAATGAAAGATTTGTTCCATGGCAATTAAGTGCAGTGGTGTTGGAATTAGTAGGGAACAATGGAAGAGGGTGAATACTGATAGATGTCAACGTGTACTAATCATAAATAAAGTGTCAGCGTATTTATTGAGTGCACTTTGTATAGGTGATAGAGTTACTGTTTGAGAAATATCAATTCTAAAGCAACTTTTATTGAGATTTTTCAAAAGATAGATTATGTAACTACCGTTATTGTTTTGACTCAAATTTTTTCAATGATCTTTTATGAATGATATGAATGATTTTTACTTTATTTTCAGACTTACTTTTTTATTTATTTTTTTTTATCTAGTTGTACATTCTAGGATTGCTTAATTTTTTTTTTTAGTAATAATTATTAAAAACTTCGAAGAAAACGAAAAAGAAAAAAAAATTTAATAATAATTATTAAACCCTTCGAAGAATAAAATCATAAAATAGTAGAAATGTTAAAAAAAAGTTACAAAATTTTTATCTCGCTATATCACGTATGAGATTCGTGTAAAGAATTTGGAGCAAAGATCAAATAATTTTTTGGTTCAGTTATTTTAGTAGTAATATCATAGTTGTAGTATTATGGAAATAGAACAATGATATCGATCCTTTCTAGAGTCTTTCTACAAGAAACAATTTCTATCCATCTTGAGGACTTGTATGATCTCAAAAGAACTTTCAATTTAGAGGAATCTTCTGCCTGCACAAAAGATGTTCTTTATTCCAAATCTACGAATTATAAAAGAGAGCTATACTATAATTAATTCTCTGCTATAATTAATAATTAAATCTTCAATATTAATTATTTTAATTTAATAAATGTAGAATATTTTATTACTTCTATCATTTATTTTTTAGATCGCAAGAATTTGTTGAATAAATTTGGTTCGTAGAATATATCATGCAATATCGATACCATCAATCATCCTTTCAATAACATTTCATAACAGTTCGTTTAATATGAGAGAAAGAAATTCAATTTCATCTTCTAGGAAACTTAACCTAAATTTAAATTACGATTCAATTCTAATTAATAATTGTATCATATGTGACCTATAACCTATGACTACGAATAACAAATAATCTAAAACAATAAGACTAGTAGTGACTCGGAGTTTACTATTAATATCACTAATAGTCACTCAGAGTTTAATATTAATGAATTATTTTATATTTATTTTATCATTTAATCATTATTAATGACTCTCTCCTTTCCTCTCCAATTTTTTATTTTAATTTTTTGCTTTCTCACTTTCTTCTAATCTGATTCCTCACTGCTTGACTTTAATCTCATTTTTCTCAGTTTTTCTCACTTCTATCATTACATCATTATTATTACATTTTTTTAGCATTACAATTACTCGAAAAATATTAAATCTTTTATAATCTTGTGGCTTTATCATTCACATTAACGCGTATTATTGCACATTTTATCTTCTCATGCGAATGAATATCGTAGCAATATCAATCATTTCTTGGCTATCAATAATAATCTCATCAATCAAACGCCTTTATTTCTGATATTCCTTCAATAATCCATATTTAAAAGAAATTAATTTTGCTTCTTAAGAATAAGTAAGAATCATTTGGGATTGCACGTGATCTTTTGTTTTCTTTTTTAAGATCTGTGAAAAATCCTCAAGAATTTTGGAGCGAAATTGCAAAACAATTCTATTGGGAAACTTCGGCAACGGAGGATAAGTTCTTTTCGTACAACTTCGATTTGAACAAGGGAGATATTTTCATTAAATGGATGGAGGGTGCGTCAACGAACATAAGCTTCAATCTGTTGGACAAAAACGTGAAAAGTGGAAATGGTGACAAGATTGCGTTTTATTGGTAAGGTGTCACGTTCCTTTTCATTGTTTGTTTATCGCTTGATACGCTTATAGGAATTTGAATTATGTTCTGAATTCTGCAGTACATTCAGTTCAATATTCGAATAACTGATGCACAGAGATAAAGGAATGCACGATAACTTCGCGAAAGAATAGGGAGTAATGAAGGTATCGTTGATATATATATGTGGTATAATTATAGATATTATCAGTATTTCACTTGATTTTTATTTCTTCAATTAAAAGGATGCGTAAATTATGTAGTAAATTACCCTTTATTTTGAAAGTTTATTTGAAAATTAATGCCGACTCTTTATTGTAAAATTAACATTATTTATAATGTAAAAATATTTTATAATATTTTTAATATTATAAATTCTGATGTCTCTTTTTTAAAATTATCCTCCTTTTTTTCTCCTGAATTTTTTTCATCCTTATGTGTAAAATAATAAGTATTACATGAGTAGGTATTTATATTTAACCACGTATATAATTAGACAGATAATTTGATGAACGTAAATATTCCACGAATATAATATTCCATAATATTATACATACATGTATTTTGTTTTTAGATGAACTTGAAATAGCTTTTCTGAAGTATCAACAAGAAACTGCTATTGTGCCTGCTATTATAAAACTAGCTAGCTCCTGTTAAGAAACTATAAAATATTCTGCGTGCATTTTTACATTCATTCAGGGATTTTCAATCGACATGTAGTACAACTGTACTAAATAGTTTAAATACAATTATTTAAAGCGTCCGTTTGAATGATATGCTTCCAGTGCATTCATTGATATGCAAAATATACCGCTGTTTATAGACGCAAGTCATTCAAGTGTGTTACATAAATGATCCAATTTCTTTATTTTCACTGTAGTACTATATTTTTCATACGTGATTTAAAAAGTATCAGGTGAAATTACTGAATGAAGCAGAAAGCATTTTGATAATGCTCTCTTTTCTGATTCTCATCTTATTTTTTTCAAATATTCTTAATACATTACGTGTATTAAATGTAATATGTGTGTGTGTGCGTAAAAGAAAATATTTGTTAGAGTTTCTGAAAAAAATTTATTTTAAATTTAACATTAAGTTTGTTTTGCTCATAATGAAATAATCATAGAAGAAGATATTTATATTAGTAAAATTAAATGCCACATTAAATCTTTCTTATCATTAACTTCATATTAAATTATATTATTAAATTCTAATATACTTTAATACGCATTTCAATATAAAAAAGTTATACATATTACTAGTAAAAATTCAGATTAGCAAGCTACATTGAAATAATATGTATTCATTATTACGAAGACTCACGCGTCGAATATGTTGAATATAATCTTTTTTTTTTTTTAGAAAAAGCGCCTAAATAAATATGTTTGTTGAGAAATATGTTCACACAATCGATCTAGGAATGAGGCATTCGTTCTCTTTATTCGAACGTTTATCTCTATCGTATAATGCTCTCCTATTCGTTCAAAATTTGGCATGTTTCCAGTTATGATTTCCTGATTGGTCGTATACACGTGGTACGATCACGTTAGCTCATGTGACTGGATAATACGATTCTTCTATGTTCTTTGAACGCGGTTCGCAAAAAATCAAGTTCGTGCGCGTGGAATGACGGAATAATTGTTTGTAAATAGAGTTCTAACATGATTGCATAAGTAATTTAATTACAATTATTTTCATAATTTTGTAAATTGGCATTACGCACTGGAATTATGCATTGACGTTGGACATAAATGTGAATTCTATATAAATCATAAAATAGTAGAAGTTGAATTTTACATTTTCATAATTGTTTTCATATATATTTAAAAATATATGGAAAATAATATTGAAGGAAATATCTTCAGAGTAACTATTAATTATGAATTAGAGTAGTTCCAGGGAAGATTATTAACTAATTAAAGGGATGTGAAAGTATCTATTAAAATATCATTATGTTATCACGAGTATAGAAAATGTGTTATAGAAGAAATTTTAAAATATTCAAAGAGGACTTTTAGTTGAGCGCGATATCAGATTAGGAAAGGACGGCGATAAGCGTTCTTACATAACTAGCTATTAGAATTTTTGTATTATCTTATCACTATGTATTTACTAAATCATATAGTAAAACCTACTTTCATTTTTCTATGCATGTATATTGAAATGCTTTATCATTAACTAGTTTTAACAAACAAATAGTTTAGTGAAAAAAGACAAAAAGACAAATCTCTTAAATTAAATTTTTATCTTATATTCAAAATCTTGTTTTAAATTAAGTTAAAATATAATATTTAATAATCTACATTATCGTTGGGATCAGGCACTGATTTAAATCGAAAACTATCCGTATTTGAAAATGATATTTAAATTGTGAAAGAAGACTTTGGATAGTTTTAGAAATGCATTTATTCAAACAGAAACTTTGACGTATATAAGATACATGCAAAAATTCATAAGGTCGTAGTATTATGTTGAGTCAACCAGTACCGAATGTACTTTAATAAATATCGGAACAAATATGAAAAACTAAAATATTCTAGTGTATATGCAAGCCCGGTTATATGCCTAAGAAACATGCAATTTGAACTTTGAACGCACGTGTTACAAGTCTGTCATACAACTTCCAATTTTACTACTTACTTATTATTGCTTATTTACTATCAACTTTTTATATTTCATATTAACTCCATATTAACTATGTTAGATATTCATACTTCACTTCCGCAGTGTTAGGTGGCTGAATTTTATATATTTGATCTCTTATTATAAATACAAAAATAGAACTTTCCGAGACATTGTCTTTCAAGTGATTATATATATATTTATGTAATGAAATAAAATAGATCTTAGAATGTTAAATACGATTAAATTTGCTGCATTATGTGTGTCTGTAATTATTGTAGTAATCATTTATTGTTAGTTCACTGCAGT